AGGAGACCCAAGAAGCCACCAGGCTTTTGGGAGAGCCACCTCAAATTAAGTAAAGAAAAACTGCTGCGAATGTGTGGCTTGGCCAATTCAGTGATTATTTAAGTAAAAACTCTTGCAATTTCGTTTTGAAGCTGAGAAAGTTTGACGAACGAGTGACTGAAATAGGGAGAAATAAAAGTTTATTAACCCTTTAACTCCCATGACTGACCTAGACAGAATTTCTCCTTACAATACCAACACAAAATCAAGCAGACAAGTGATGAGAATAAAGAAAAATATCAGTTTGGGCAATGTTAGTTAATCCAGTACAAAATTCTCTTAACTAACATCATAAAAATTGCACTGTTAGACAGTTAGAAGAATTACTATTAAAATTCTAGAGGTTTTGGGAGAGAAAGGGTGGACTGCAATAAACAATTACCTGAGTGAATTCTGCTATGTCTTCTTAGATCGTTGGAACTATAAAAAGCCTTTGGACACTGAGAACATTTATGCGGCCTCTCCCCTGTGTGAGTGTAAATGTGCTGCTGGAGACCAAAGGGGTGTCGGAATGCTTTGTCACACATATTACATTTCCACTTTCTACAACTCATGTCTGGACATACGCGCTTGATATGTCGTGCCAGATAGCTGAGAGAGGTAAATATCTTTCCACACTTACCACAAGTGTAACCCTCTGTGTAGAGAAAAAAAAAAGAAAAGATATGACAAATATTATTAAAAATGAAACTTAAAGAAGGCTTAAAGTACATACATGGACAACTTTATAAGAGACACAGCCCAACATGAAAGATGATGCAAAGTCCACTGTTAAAGGAAAAGTTAATCATTCATAAATGGTTACTCGGCACTAACTTCCTGAGGTGATTAACATTTACTGTAAAAGCCTGGAGATATACCTCACCCACAGATAAGCCGTACCCTGAATTTAGCAGCTCAAATTTTGGAAAAAAAGTTTTTTTAAAGAAATCAAAAGAAATCCAAAGTCGAGTCTAGAGAAGTCTTCTTCATCCACTGTTCATCGAATGTAAACTCAATAGTAACATTACAACGGAAAATACTTCAGTGTTCCCACAATTTTAGCACTTTAATATAATGAACATCATTTCTACCAACTTTGACATATGATTAGTCTTTTTTCTGGTATTTTTTGACAGGAACACAGTTTTTTCATAGATTTTTGCACTACAACAAGAACGTGAGCAGAACATTCAAAGCTTACTGACCAGGCATTAGATCAGACGTGAAAATGAAAAACTGGACACTGGCGTTGACATTCATGACACCTTTTTCAAATGTTCCCACAGATAAGCCACACCCCCAATTTCTAGCAATGATTTTTGGAAAAAAGTGCGGCTCATACATGGGCTTTTATGGTAACTTAATTCTTCCTAAAAATATCCCACCTTATTCAGCAAACAAGATATTTGGATACTCAAATGTATGAGGTGGAAGTTGTTATCTCAATCTAACATCAAAAAAATTTAGTAACCAGAGGGGAGAATTTAATAATCAGGTCTTGGAGTTAAAAGGTTGAGGCACATTTTAAAAGATGCAACTTCATTCCTTAGAGGATTTGCTATACTCTCTCTGCCTTTAAGCATCCAGGACTTAGCTTAATCAATTCAACAACACTCTCACCTCGGCCAATTCTGTTGTATTGTGGGTCTACATCTACGTCACCAACACGGAACACTCCCTTGCTGGTGAACACGACCTCATCATCGTGCTCATCTAAGGACTCGTCACCCTCTCCTCCTGGTGGTGTGGAATCGGAGGCATCTAATCCATCCTGTGAGCTGATACTAAGAAGTGCTGACACAGCCTGGTGCAAATTGAAGTCTGACTGCTTAGTGGCACTGTGCTTCTCTGATGGCTGTCTACCATGACACTGCAACAAAGTATTCATCATAACACCTTTTGATTTGTCAATCCCGACATCTTTGCTAGCTGCTACAGGTTCATTTGTCTGCAGGTTGTTCAGACTACCTGTCCGTTTCAGTTCCACAGACTTGTTCCTCTCATGAACAAACTTCTTCACGGCCTGCTTGGCACTCACCGGTGCAACTGCTGTTGTTATACTATTAGCGGTAGTGGTTTGCACATTGGTAGCACATGACCATGATGTCATACTGGATGTAGCTGGCTGCCTGTTAGTAGTCGCTCCAACACTGCTAGACTGAAGAGGTACACTTCTGGGCAGGACAACTGGAGCAATACTTCTTGGGATCTGCCCCATGACAGTTGTTGGCAGAATCTGAGCGGGAGTACTTTTCAATCCACCTGGAAACACAGATGGTGCCCGCTGCTCACGGGGTAAGATTAGCCGCTGATTACTAACACTAACAGAATGAGGTGTTACCAGTGGTGCAACCTGACTCACTACCGTTGTTTTCCCTAAAGTAAACATACTTGTGCTTGTAGAGTTCAGTGAGGTCTTTGGAATTCCCAATGCCTGAACACTAGCCAAACCTGAGGTAAAAGGTGAAGGCGTGGGACCCTCAGTCTGAGGTATCAAGTTCCTCGCTCTGACACCACTCAGAGTCTGGGGGCTTGTCAAATACACAACAGGTGCTGCTGGTTTGATGTTCCACAGCAAATTAGCAGTTGACCGTGAGCCAACGCAGCTAACAACGTTTTCCATTCCTTTTAACGGCTGTTGAGGACGAGCTCGTTGATTATTGCTGCTTGGTGGCAGAGATGGGGGTGGGTTCTGTGCAGTCATGGATGTTTGGATACTTGAGGGAGTCACTGGTCTACAAAATAGACCCTGAATATTTTGCACCGCAGTTGAATTCAAAAGCCTTGGGCCCAAGACATTTGACCCAGAAGGATTTGTTGGACAAGCTCCTGTCAACCTAGGACTCAACTGAGGTGGTACCACTGCAGCTGGACTCAACTGGGATGTTACCTGACTCAAATTCAACAAGTTCTGCTGTACATGAGCCACCTGTTGCAGACTTGCCTCAATATTTGCAGGAAATCTTACAGTTTGCTGTGGGAAAGGATTATGCACAACAAAACCTGGCTGAACTTGTGACACTATCTGGCTCTGTGAATGGGTATTACTTTCAACCTGCAATAAACCTTGCTCACTTGATGAGGCCACACTTTGTACTGATGCAGAGACAACATTACTGACAGTGCTGGGCTCCTTAAAAGAAGAGTTCTTTTCAGAGTCAGGAAAAGTATTTGAGGTGACTTCCTCCACAGCCTTTCCATGGGAAACATCACCTTCTTTGTTATCCTGGTGTAAAATGGTAGGATTGGCACGGAAGCTGACCAGTGCCTCTGCAGCCTGCGAAAGCTTGACAAGCTCAGATTTCCCTGTTGTTGGCTTGTCTGAAGATACAGGAGATCCCAGTGGAGACTTTTCAGAGTTAGGACGCCTCCTTTTAGGCTCACTTACAGAACAAGAAGATTTTGATTTTGCTGGAGACAACATCACATCTTCTCCACTCTTATTCACTTTATCCACACTTGACTTCACCTTTTTCGATGACAAGCTAGGGACCACGGTCTTAAGCTTGTCTGCTGTCAGTTTGAGAAGCAATTCAGCAGCAGAAGAAACTGTAACTTTTTTAAGTCCTGGGCACTTTTTCAGTTCAGCAAATAAATGTTCAAACACACCAATCTTCTTTTCTGACAAACTTCCACTATTTTGGAGGTTATTAGTACGTTTTCTGCTTCCAAGAGGAACATCTTTCTCCCTTGTGGTTTCATTAATTGAATCATTCAGAGATTTGACATTTTTAGAAGTACCTCTTGTATTTATCACTTTCTCATGCTCTGTCTCACTTGCTTTAGAACTGGATCTTTTAAGATCACTACATAACGTCCCCTCTACAACGGGTCCCATCTCTTCCTTGGTAGCATTTTGTTTATTGTTTGCAGACTTTTCCTTACCGTGAGCAATTATCTTGTCAATATTCCTGGGGGTATTTTGCACTTCATCCTTCAAACTCTTTTTTTTAACCTTTTTGTCCCTTGACTGAGTTTGGCTATCGGCTCTTTTGTTTAAATCTGTGTTTTCTCCTTGATTCTTGTCATTTTTAGATATCACTGATCTGGCTTTTCTTTTCTTTTTTCCTGTAGAGTTGCTACCTTTGCTGTGTTGTTTCTTTTTCAGCTCAAGATCTTCCCCATTTGGATTGCTTTCAGGTGATTTCTGTACAGTTGGAGTTTTTCTTCTGGTTGGAACAGTTTTCTTTGATGTCTCAGAGGCTGTTGCCTTCTTGTTTTGATTCCCTTTCTGTTTTTTGCCAACAAACTCATCTGGATTGATAGTTCCTTCACCTGTATCTTTGCCATTACTGCCACTTAGGACATCCTCTGTTTTCACTTTTTTTCTCCTGAGAGGACACAGAGAAAAGAAATGAACAAAAGACAACCACATCCACAACAAAAGGCTTCCAAAGAAAATGTTCTTAAACATGAAGGCGCGCTATATAAGGAAGTCTTCCCTGGGAAGACCTAGGCTCATTTGTCACTCACTGTTGACATGTGTGGGTCAAATTTAAATGCTGGTAGACAAACTAAAGGAGCTAATGAGATATCTATCGTTTACTTCCACCAGCATGGTGGCATGAGGTAACGTGCGAACCACCTACTTCGATCTCAAATTTACCGCCACAAATAAAGACAGTTTCCATTGGAGAAAGGAAATACAAATCTAAAAAATTCTTGTATTGTGATGAAGACACAAAACAATTTTGAGGAATGCACCCCCTGTTCACTGCTTTGGAGTAGCTGTAGCTCAAGCTGACTTGACTCTAGAGTTCTACATCACACGACGGTCGATTGACAAATGGTCCAGTGGGACCTGAGGCTCCTTTTATAGCGCGCCTTCATGTTTAAGGTGACTAATAGACCACTTACGTGCTTACTCGTTTCCCATTTTCAGGATCACATTCTTTGGACTTCTGTGGAAAGTTTGCAAAACATTGAACAAATGAATACAACTACAATAACAGTGATTTTTTTTTCTGGTTAGCACAGTACAATAGTGCTCAACTCAGACTTAGGAAAACACAAGGACTGGCAAAAAAAAAACTTCAATATATCAGACTAAACCATTGACTCTAAAGACTGATAAGACAATGTGACTGTGTGTAACTGGCTGTTGATGACTCAACAAATTGTCAAATTTAAGATTCCCCAGATGGGTGAGAGATCCAACCAACTAACCAACCAGTATTCAATACAATCCAATATGAACAGCAGTAACTTTTCAACTACATTTGCGAGTGTTAATAACAAACAAGCTAATCAATGCCTGATTATCAAATTGAAGTGACTGTCACCCATGGAGTATGACTTAAGATGGAAATTAACCAATAAATGCCCAGTGGGCATCTGAGACTCTTGCTATTTACTCTAAAAGCATGAAAGCTGTCTGTGCAGCAGTTTATTTTGACTACAAAAACCACACGCTGATATTGTTTACGGAAAAAAATGAAACCAGGCATTATCTGAAACCAGACATTGTTTGACCTCTGACAAACAAAGAAGCAAATTCCCAACTTCAAAGCCAAGGTCAAAAAAATATGGGGATTATGATACAACTTGTGTACACCTGGTCCAAGAACACCAAATTTCTCCATCTTATCTTCCTCAACGCAACTCACCATTACTTCCTAAAGACCATAACTAATCTGATAAAAAAACTGGTTTGCATTTAAGTTACAACAGATGACTTTTCGCAAATTCTTGGGCAACAAAACATTTAATGACATTTTTAAATCTATGTTAACTGCTAGTTGGCAGTGATTGAAAACATTGGTAAAAAAAAAATACTATGAAATGGCAACAATTAAAATCATACATATGTTTAAAATTGTTCACAAGTTCTAAAGAGTTTGAGGTCAAACCACATCTTTAAACTTTTAAAAATGTAACCTTAAGAATGAAAAGGAAAAAATTAGTTTTTTAATAATTCTCTCTTAGGTTTTGTTTTGACTTTATTATTTAGACTTTGAGTCTGGCCAGAATTGTTAAAAAATGCCCTGGCTTCCACTGGTCTCTTGTACTTTTCTGATAAACAGGGTTTACCATTGAAAAAGAAATCAACTACCGGTGGAAATCCCTTTCTTGTACAAAATCCTTCACTGTTTATTTTTTCTAAACAATGACGAAAAATAAATCGGGCAAAATATATTATGAAGAAAAATTATGTGTTGACATCCACATAATATACCCTTCAAGAGTGTTCAGTGCTTGCCAAAAAAATTCTGACAATTAAGCTTGAGGAAGCTAACTTCTTGAGTATTGTCTGTGCAGGTGCGATAGTAATGTCAAATATGACAAGGGTCTGCAACGAAGGCTTGTGCGTGTAGTAAATTATTCTTAAAAACACCAAAAATCGTCGTACATCGCACAAATTTGTACAATGCCATCTTGGAAGGCCATGTGAAGCGATCTCCTCAGAGTGAATATTTGTAGCGACTGACTCTCTTCCCAATAAAAAACATGAAAATCAAAACAGTTTGCTTGCATATAATTACATATCGCATGTACACGTTTTTAACACACAAATGTGTCTCTACAGATGTCTAAAAAATTTCAAAACTACTGTTATTTTAAAATCGATTTGTACTTTACTTATTTTCGAAAAAAATTCTGCGTGTCGGAGCGGGTTACATGCAAAAAAACCCATTTCCACAAGGTCGCAAAATAAATTTTTTACTTTTCGAAGAACTCATCACACACGTGGGCAACAGCCAAGAGGTGATTTTTGTTCGCAGTGAATTATGACAATACTTTACTTTAAAGCAAAAGAAGAAAGTGAATAGAAACTGACGAACTTATTCAGTGCAGCAATGTCGTTTGTACATAAGAAAACAAATTCTGTTTGGATACCACTTGCATGACGTCTAGTGTAAATTTAGAATCAGCCAACAGTGGCATGGACAAACCTGATGGCCCGTCTTACTCTGGGGCAAGTGCCAACTTTGTCCCTTGCAAGCATAACTGTTAGTTTCGATTTGCTTAACATATAATTATTCTTTCACTTCGAAAACCTAAAAAGTTGTAGGTCGGTGTAGCATCCACTTGAAGCGCGACGACAATAAAGTAAATAATTTTTCCATGAAATTGACTAAAGCGGTGTGCATTTCAGTCTGATCTCTCTGGGATCGAGCTACGCTCAATAAATATTGACCACATGGCATTTGCGGGTCTAAAACATGCTACACTATTTTCTGACACGAAGTAAAATCTCAGATATATGCTGAATCCTGCAACCTTAGCGAAGAGCCAAGCCTTAGATACACTGGCCCATTAATTTTCCAAACTAAACAAACATCTTTTCAATGGCCAGTCCTTCTTTCGCGTTTCATCAATGTACTACGAGAAAACTAAAACAAAGTTTTGTCCCGTCAAATTTGTATATATTTGGTTTTCACGCTTCTTAATCGCCACTTACATTTTAAAAAATGCTAACCAGACTGAAATCACGACTGAAATCCAGAGTACTAGATATTTTTGGGTGAAAAAGCTGCAGGATTATCGATGTTCCCTCTCTTCCGCGGTCGTCACATGCTCGCGGTGGTTCAAGAACTCATAACAAATCCAGCGAAGGAAACATTTGATGTCGAGTTTCTTGTCAAATTCCAAGCCTTGCTTAAAAGCTATAATTCAGGGCCTCGTTTGCCCTTATCATAGATCGACTATTTGCATGAAAGCAAATGGCAAATCAACACACCTCTTTTCTGGTGCTTGCATGATTTTCCGGTTCGTCCTCCGACGAGTAGCAACACGAGCACTTGGTCGAATGTGCACGTTTTCGCCTAAAAAAATGCACCAAAACTCAATCTAAACCACGAAAAAAGCTCAGAAACCCAAATTAAAAGGTACCCACGTTCTCCTCAAACCAGTGTAACCCTTCTCCATTGCGTGCCAGCTTGAAAAGCCGAGATCTCCGTCGAAAATGAAACCACCAACCCAGACGTCGACATGTTTGTATCAGAGTAAACCCTTTGCGTCAGAGAAATACTATGGGTGTTACTGCGCTTGCGTACAAGGGCTAACCCATTGACTTATGGGTAACTTTGGCAATATTCCCGCGAAAAAGGGGCCTACCCTGCAAATCGAAGCACTCATCTTTACTTAATTTTTTTCATTTTCTAAATATAAAGTTCGTAGTAATGAGTTAAGTGTCCAGATTTATATGATAATATGGCCATATTTTTAACTCATGAAAGCTAAATTTGAAAGTAAAAGAAATCAAATATCTCTTTATTAATTATTATTTATTTTATTTCTGAACTTCGTGCTTGATCATTATTGCATATTGATCCACGCTCAGGGAAATCCCTCGTGAACTAATGTTTTTCATATCGTCTGACGCACTTCCAATTTTCTCAGAAATTGGTATCGGTGTGAAGAACCATTTCCTTTTCACCCAGTAGACGATTGTGAGTTTTTTTTTCTAAAAACTGCAAAATCTCTGGGCGGTGATAGTAAAATCCATTGTGGGCGATTGAAAAATCCGCAGCGCCGATTCAGCGTAGCATATAAAAGTATAAAATAAACACAATTTAATATATTGAAGTCTTTGACACTTCCGTCCTTTTCATGCATCATCGATTTTTCCCCAAAACGGAACTAGAAATAAATTTAACTCTTTATACCCTTACATCCGTATGCACATTCTCCATACGGTTCTTTAAACATTTCTTAAGATGCTGACAAAGAGAATTTGTTTCACAATCAGGCGCTTTTTTAGTCGGTGATAGTTTCCTTGATTCTCGTGACGCTAATGCGTGATTCAGTGGTGTTCTTGTAAAGAGAAATTAGATGTCAGTCACTCTGAAGGAACAAAGGGTGGAGGAATAAGGCTACATCAATTCATCATTCGCTAAATTGGTGTCCAAACGAATACCGTATCATGCGTAATATATTTTGAGATGGTTGTCGTTAGGAAAACACAGCAGTCGTTGCATTGTAACAACATTCCAGTAAACAAATTTTCTTATCGTTTTTAATCCTGGATTTGACTTAAGTAGTTAAAAGTATTTCAATTTGGGATAAATGTGTTTTGCCCTATTTCACGAAGGTTCGACAGAAAGAAGGAAATTGAAGGCACGGGAAGCAGCAGAGGGATTACCTTTGTGCCGCGAGCTGTAATCAAGTCGGTAGGATCTGGTGACTAGAGAAAATGTTGTGCATATTCGACAATTATTTACCGCAGTGGAGGTAAAGAAGCACCGTTTAAAGCTGACGATGGGGGTAAGTGCCGGTTGTTTTAGAAAGTACCACATAAGAACCTGGGATTTGCTTACATCTATAAATATACCGAGACGTGGTTGTAAGTGAAACTTTTGACGCGTACTTTTGTCTCTCAGGCTGCTCGAAAGTGAAATGGTGCGCTTTCCAATCAGATAAGAGCTAGTGGTATTAACTCGTACGGGATATAAACAAACTACTGGGGACATGAATAGTAGGAAATAAAATCCTCGAAGAAGAAATCATCTTTAACTGTTTAAATCTAAGGCCAATATGCATATTGTCCACGCTGCTCTTTTAACGTTGCTAACGAGGAGAAGTTTTTGACAACCATGAACTTCTTGAGCTGGTCATCATTTCCTGTATTCTTGTATTCTTGTGATATTAAAGTTTGACTGATGTGATACTGTACAAGAAATGGGATGCTAGTAAGTGGGTACAAGCGAAATTAGGGTGAGATACACCAGGATCATTTTCAACGACACTTTAATGAACAATTTAGCAGTTAGGCTTCATTTCTTCAGCTTAAAGCGATGTCGTAAAATACGTCACTTGAATATTATCAAAGATACATACACAAAATATTGTGATACATGATTAAAATCAGTAGTCATCACGCCATGCCCTACTCTCAATTTAGCGATTTAAATAATATAATCAAGTAAAATTTGAAGCTAGTTTTAAAGGTTTCTTTGCAGCACATGGAATTTGGCTTTCAAGTAAGTGCTCCCTTTCTTGGTTTTGTATTACAATATAATTAAAAAAATAAATATTT